TGCAAGTTCGTAAACACCCGGTATAGTACTACTAATTCGTTTTCATATAATCTAGTAACCACTGACGGTTATGTTTCTGCTACGCTTATTTTGATGTGGTTTATAGTTGTAACTAATATTGTTAACAGATATAGTAAATAATACAATGGAATGGTCTCAATCGGATTTACAAATAGCGAATATAAGGGCTAGTCAGACGGAAATAGATTAATTTAATTTCATGCAACACGAGTCGATTCATTATAGATAAACTAAGTTATTTAAAATAGGAAAACAGTCTATATTAAAATGTATTTCCTTTTCGAATGAACATAAACCATAGCTCTGATAATTCAAATGTAATTTTTGAAAAGTAAATAAAACTGATTTTTCATTTTTCATTAAATAGAAACATAGACGAGGATTATTGACTTAAACAATTTCGTTCTGAAATAAAAGCTACCAGACTGACTGAAGTTAATTTTTTTTCACAGTCTGCTTCTACTCATAATTCGTATTTTAATTACTAGAGGTATACTTTGTTATTGGTTGAAATTTGAACATGAATTTCATCGTTCAAATATTAAAAAGTGCGGCACACAAGCCTGCCAACTTTCATTACCTGTTACGTTAACTAATTACTCCCATTATACACCACGAAAATAGAAGAGTTTGCTCGCAGGAGCAGCAACTAAACATCCTGCGAATGCCTATCTGTTGAATTGCACAGCAGATGAATAGTTTCCTCTAAAACATGTTGCGAATATTATACGCAAAGTTGTTATACTAAATAATACAAAAACTATTACATCAGTGTACAACATGATAAGGGTTTAGAGCGCAACAATTCTGATACAATTAAACTTGCTTTAAACTGCTTTGTTGGGATGTTATATATGTTGCTAGGAGAACTTTGAGCAAAATATTTCAGGGAGTCAATTTAAAACGAAGCAGATAAATTCATTTATTCAGGACTTGAACAAGTACCATACTTGAAACTACTGTTGCTTTTAGAATATGTAAAAGTTAAATTAAAAGTTCTGGTTTGTTATTTTTACCGTTCTTGCATATCATATTACTTTCAAGCCGTCTCTATGGATTAAAAAGTTGTTGTTTCAGTCTATTACTTCAGGGAATAAGGTGTTAGTTCTCCAGGGCATAAAAATATTCTATTCACAATCCGTTAGTGTCTTGTTTCAAGGTTGGTTTTCTGATATAACTACAATCCTGATGGGGGGTCGTAAGAGAAAATAACAGACAGTTAAATATAGACAGTAAAATACAAACTATTAATTACAGACTGTTAAAAATGTTGACACCGCCGTTCTTGGTGGTGAAAAGTCGAAATATTTGGAATTATTCAATTTTCGTGGCTGACAACATACATAAGTAGTAGCATTAAATTTTCGAAAAAGTTACGTAAAGTTCGATAAGGTAATTCTGATGTTTTTCATAATTTTCAGTGACGTCAAATAATGATTTATATAATTTATACAATGTCATATTATTTACTTACTCATTATTTATTTAAGTTGCTATATTTAGGTAATTAAAACACTGTACCTCACTACTACGCTACAAATGATTCTAAACATGTGGTCTGCTATACCACTAGCACAGGTCTCTATCCAACATACACAGTAACACCCCAGTGGATGATAATGTGATAAATCTAATTGGTTGAGTCAAAACAGGTCAGTGTAAGTTCATATTTTTTCAGCCAATATGTAAAAAGTCTAACAATAAATAAATTCCCACAATTTTTATCACTGTGTGTAATTATACTATTTATTGATTTTATTTTTATGTACTTTGTATTTATACATACATGTATTTCAATTCTAGAAAAAACTATTTGGTCAACATATAAACCTGCTGATTAAAAAACATACATTTTACATTAACATGCGTTTTCATTTAACTAAAGAATTCTCGGGTTACTACCCGTGCATCACTCACCGTTACAGTTACAAGAGGTAATTGAAATATTTTCCTGTCGTAAATTTTACTATTTTTCAAGGGCCTCGGCTACAGACCCCACTGCAACAGAAATATTATCAGGTTTTCATTTAAATTATACGACCGAGGGCGTAAAAGACTCGTAAAAATTTTTATCGGTGATGCTTATCGTCTCAGGAAATTTTCATTACATGCATAAAAGTCGAATTTTATTACCCACTCAAACTTTGTGCGTAAATATTATTTGTTCTGGCGGTATTAATTTCCACATCTTGAGGTATTTTATCGTTTATGTACGGTGTCATGAAAAAGCAACAATGATGTAGGTACAAACGGCTTAAAACATAATTAACAGAATGCTGTAAGGTGACAACGCATTAAATGGTAAAGTGGTCTTGCATTGTTTGTTTAAAAAAATTAAAATTGTATTAAGTTTGAGGCTTGCAAATTTCCGAGAATCACTGTAAAAACAATTCACTCATTTTTCACTCAATTTTTCAAAGTGGTAAATAACTATGCACATAATGATAATAAGTAATTAACTGTTATAAAAATATACATAAACAACATATAATTAAAATATATAGGATAAACGACACACTAAGATTAATGATAACATTCATATTCGAGTTACAATATTGTCAATAAAATCATCAAAAGTATAAAAGGCATTTTTTATTAAGTATTTTCTTATCCTTGATTTAAAATTATTGTCATTAAGAATTTGAATTTGGTGAGGTATTGTGTTAAAAAATTTGATGGCCCAATAATTAGTACCGACCTTCATTTTACTAAGTCTTAGAAATTTATTACATAAGTATGTGCTCTTTCGGGTATTATAAGAGTGAGTCTCACTTCTGATTTCAAAGTTATGTATATGTTTTTTGACATAAATAAGACACTGAAGTATATATATAGGGTACAGTTAGTATGTTCAACTTGGAAAACTTCTCTACAATCATCTCTAAAACCAAGGTCAGATATGATTCTAATAACTTTTCTCTGGAGTAAAAACTTTTTTCATAGAGGAGGCATGACCCCATACTAAAATAGCATATGTTATGATGGAATGGATATAGCCATAATAAACTATCAGCAAGCTTGATATTGAGACTCTTTGTTTGAGATTCCGGAGTAAATATGTATGTTTTGATATCTTGGAGCAAACATAATTAACATGTTGATCCAATGTCAGTTTAGGGTCAAGATGAACTCCCAAGAATTTGACCTGTGCTGGATTATCCCAGTTTTCCACATTCCGTAGACTAAAAATCATATTTTCGGTTTTCGAAGTATTCAAACTGAGATGGATACTAGTAAACCAGTTTTCAACAGATGCATGTTAGTCATAAATTGATGTCATTAACTGTTCTCTAGTTATATTGGTATTAACAACAAAGAGTATACTTTTAGATGAGGTAAACAATTAGGAAAATCATTGATACATATCAGAAACAGTAACGCACCCAATATGGAACCTTGTGAAACTCCATTTTCAATATTCTTTGTGGATGATTTCAGATTATTATATAGGTACAACATACTGTAATCTACTACTCAAATATGATCTCAATAAATCCGAACTGTACGATGAAAAATCATGAAAACCATTCCCAGAAAATTGCAAAGAATAATAGAAGACAATGATGTCACTTTTTGCTGCTGCCATAAATTCATTTACTTTTTTCTATGGTCCTACTGATTGGATTAACACGATCGCAGTCTCTAGAAATCTCTTAGGAAATAGAATAAATTACTCTAATTTTTGGCACTAGAAGATTGTATCGAAAAGGTACAAAACTAAAAATATACCTACATATTTATTGTAGAACTTTACCAAATAGGTTTAAAACGTACTATTGAAACAACACATTTTCAAGTTAACCTATAAATTATAATTAATTAAAACTAATAAATATATAACAAATGAAATATTAAATAAATAAAATAACAATAAGAAATAAAACGACTGCGTTTGGTGACCTCCGATTACGGCAATATGGGTGTATTGTTCAGGAATAAAACGTTTCACAATAACCAGCGCATTCTGAATATTCCACATTCGGGTACAAATTCCACTTGTTCGCAACAAACGAAGACAATGCAATGGAACGGTGCGGAGTGGATATTAAATCATTTTTCAATATTCGCGAACTATGCGAGGACCTCGGCATTAAATCTCGCCAGACAACAAGAAGTGTCGTTTTGATGTAATACAGGAAAGGAAGTTCATTATGCGGGAGTTTATTCAACGTGATAAGTTATTATGCCCGGCTCAAGCTCAACCGGGCCCCATTGTGCCAGCCATATTGTTATCATTGTATCATAATATGCATAACGCTAATAGGCGGCGTGTACCATCTGTTCGCGCGATCATTGTCCGTGGTAAGAAACCCTATCTGTTTTGTTTTTTTTCCTAGGGGAAAGAAAAACAAGGATATTTATGCACAGGGCGTCACTAAAAACTTAACTGAACTTTTTTGTATATCAGGACTTCCTTAACCCATTACAAAATCGGATATTCGAGGAGGTGTCTTGAACCACAAGCAACATTGCACCCGGGTGAGGAATCGAACCAAATCTACTACAGTCCGTACACTTGTTGAGATTGAATTCCAACAAAGAATAAGCCAATAAACTTCTGTTATCGGAACTACTGTAATAATTTACCACGGCAGGGGCGTGGCTTGAAATTTTCCGTCAATGTCTTTCTACGTTGGGTGTCGAATGCAGTTAATTCCAAGACTGACGGGGGTCTTTCTGAAATTCTATCTCAATAACTATTGTACGAATTGCAGACGTTATGTTGCATTGGCAATTTTGTCTCATTTTTTATGTTGCTAAGTTAGCAGTGCCAACAGTTGCCAATAGTGTACACAAAACAGTGAATTTCACAGCAACGAAACACCAAATTATGTCCTTGCAGCTGCAAGAAGAATTGTTTCATTGCTAAACTCTCATAAATTATAAACACGGACATTCGAAATGAAAATCATGTGGGAAATTATTTTTTAGGTTCTGGCTTCAAACGCTTCACTTCTAAAAAGAGTGTAATTACACACCTTACACCTCTGCAAATACTGCTTGATGTTGGACATGCTGTATTATAAAAATCGATTGTGCTTGACCTAAGGCAGCATGTTAGACATAGAATTAATAATTTTTTTTTATTAAACGCTAACATTTTTTTAATATACCTACACATACACAGCATATTTTGTAGCCATTTTTATATTTTTTTATATACAATATTAAAAAATGGAGTATTCCATTCGATGGAATTATTCAACTTCTGCTGAAGATTTTTTCTAAAATATTGCACACGAAACTATTTAAAGGTATGATCGTTATAAATTATAATCCATAAATTAACAATAAAAGAACGTTTTTCTCTTTTACTAGCTCTGTTCTTGTTCAACTTAATTGTAAAGAACACTAATTGCTCCTTTGACCGCAATCAAAGTTTATGCAATCGAATTTTCTTATTAAGCGTCAGCGGAAATGAAAATGTAACAAAGGCTTTATAATAGAGATTAGGAGCCTCGCGGTAAAATTCGAATCTCCTTTGTTTAAGAGACCAGAACATTAATCTTTTAATTTTAATTCGACAGTCAAACTTCTACAGCCTGTTTCTTGGTTAAAATTAATGCATAAAGTTCATTTTTGGATTAATTTTGTCACCTTACAAAAGGCATATATGTATGGCCTATTATTGAGAAATATGCACAAACATGTATTTTATTTTGTCAAGAAAGCAGAATATTTGACAACTATTTTTTTGCACAAAATAATAATAATATAATATAAAAGATAGGTATATAGTCTAGGAACCAGATGGGGTTCCGTGGCCAATCAGATTGCCACGGCTGCAAACAACTTAATCCGAAGTATTTTGACCTCCTGAATCCAAAAAACTTAGTCGCAAAACCTGAAAGCGGTCAGTTTAATTGTTATTAACAAATTAAATGTTTAAATGACCCTAAAAAGTTTATTTTTATAGCTAGTACAATTTTTTATGCGTTAGTAGTTACGTTTGCTCATAACAAAGATATATTTTTTTGAAAATTAAAAAAAGATTAACTTTAAACAAAGTTATTGCAAATTTAGTGAAAATATCTTACATTTTCCGTCTCCACGCGCACCAATTTGGTTATAGTTAATATTTTTTTAATTTTCAAAAATATATATATTTGTTATGAGTAAACGTAACTATTAACGCATAAAAAATTGTACTAGCTATAAAAATAAACTGTTTACAGAAATTTAAACATTTAATTTGTTAATAACAATTAAACTGACCACCAGTTTTTTGGATTCAGGAGGTCAAAATACTTAAGAATAAGTTGTTTGCAGCCGTGTCACTCTGATTGGCCACGGAACCCTATCTGGCTTCTAGACTAATATGCACATATATGTTCGAGGATCGATATTTATTAATTTTTAAATAAAAATGTAGGTATTTTCCTGCATACAATACAAATAGTATGTAATGCTGTTTCATTTCGTCCTAATTAAGCTTTGTTCATTTCTGCTATATTCCGCTTTGATCAGGTACTAAAAAACTCGCTGATGTTTCTTTTTCGAGAGTTGCAACCAGAAATATATTAAAATTTCAGTTCGCAGGGAGAGATTCCAGCAATTTTTATCTCGGCTACAAAGTATGCATAAGAATGCAAAGTAGATTTTGCAGCGTGCACATGTAAATCGTCTCTTTGTGAGAAATGGCTACCTAGTGTGCACATGACATCGATTTGCGATATATACGGTTCACTAGGCAGCGAATGAAAAAGCCCTGACACAATTCCAGAGGTGTCGACTGGGTGGAAACGCTTTGATTTACTTTACGAATTTAAATTACACTTTGATGTTTTATTGTTGCGACATCTCTCAATAACTCCGGCCGTTTCTTTTGAATATTGCTCGCGCGAAGTATCGGGACCCGTTCGCCTCGGAAATAACTCTTCCACGTTTTCGCATATTCTCGAATGACGTTCGAACTCTCGACTCATTACTAGCATCGCTCAAGCGTTGAAATGTCTATTCATGGAAATTGTTCGTCGCTACATCTCAACGTCCCTCATATCTATAATTTTAATTCACATCCATTTAAAAATTCATGCATGCATTCCGACGAATGAAATTTTAGTACAATGAGGCTGGGAATTTGAGTGTCATTATCTAACATATCATCGTATCCTCTTCATCGGCCTTTCTCGCAGTAGTAGTCGCTAGTAGAGAATTCTGTCGTTTTCCAAAAGAATTTCGATGTTCACTGAACTGAGCCTGAGCTCTCCACCAATGTCCCAGTAGACTCCAATTACCCACATTCGAATTTTGAAATATAATACTCGATATGAACAGGGCAACATACAGATGAAACACTATACCAAAGTACAGCCCATACTACAAAGATCGGCAAAAATCGAAAAGGCAAAAAGTCTAAATTTAAGACCTTTACGAGGTTATCGAACTGGTGCCTTTCAATTATTCATTAACAAGGGACTTATACTCAGTACATATAGTAGGTATAATATAAAGTCCTCTGAAAATTACATACCCACATTTTATTAAGGAGGTATATCGGGTTTACTCAAATTCACAGATGTACTTGAAATTTATATAGCGTATTACCCAGTGCTCCCTCTGTGCGTCATATTTTTTTGAAATTTTTTTTGAATCTAGATTTTGAGATATTGTTGTTGAAAGTTGTTCATTTTAACATAGGTTTGTATGGCGAAGATGGACGGTGCGGCTCTTTTTTTGCCCATAACTGAGAAAAAAATGTAGAAATTGTGAATCAAAACTTTTCCATAGATAGTACACAGTATTATCTTATTTTTGATGTAAAACTAATGTAAGTTTTGAACATAGTACAGCTGTATTAATTAGAAATAGAAACCAATAATTGCATTTCTGTCTGACTTGAGGATTAATGTGGCAACGTGGCAATCAGCTGACAGCAAGGCATTTTTCCTAAATCCCATGTACATTGTTATCAACAATAAATTATCCACAACAGATGATTTTTTGTAATGTTTTTAAAACATAGGAGTAATATTCGACGCAAAACTAAACTTTTCAAATCATATTGAATATGCCACAGGTTCAGCCCTGAAGATGCTTGGTTTCATAACTAGAAACTGTCACTCATTTTCTAATGAGGTAGCTTTGAAGACGCTCTATTATTCTTTTATAAGGTCTAAACTTGAGTACTGCTCGCTTGTCTGGTATCCACTGTATGTAAATCATAAGCACACAATTGAGAGTGTACAGCGAAAGTTTCTCAAGTTTTTATGTTTGAAAGTTGATAATTTTTATCCAGAAAGAGGATACGATCATTCTGTATTGCTTGATAGGTTTAATTTTACTTCTTTAGAGTTACGTAGGATTATTAATAGTTTAAAAATTCTTTTTAATATATTTCATAACAATTTAGATTGCCCCTTGTTATTGCAACAGTTTTATTTTCAAATTCCTAGAATAAGTTCCAGACAAAATGTTACATTCTACTGTCAAGCGGTTAAGACCAATATAGTTTTGAAATCTCCTATATATATTATGTGCAAAAATTTCAATTTATTATCAGAATTTAATTTTTTCAAATTGGCAGCGGGCTTTAGTCCCATAAGAAAATCATAGGACCCCCCTGCGCTCCTCACTTCCCTCGGACCCCGATATAACTCCTTAATAAAGCAATAATAAACTTATATTTTTACAATGCAAATCACTGTCGAAAATTTCCAGCTCGTGTCACTCTATATTTTATTAACTGTCATGGTTGAATTATTCGTAAGGATAATGTCTCATTAATGACTAGCAGTAAGTTCTATTTTGGGACCAACCAACATAAAATTTGTCTCTAGTATCGCTGGCAAATGGAACTGTGATGTTATAAATCAATTAGGTACTGTATATATCCCTATATTATTTCCAATAACCTAATTACTATATCTATTTTAGGGTAAATTGGGGAGATACGTAATATTCAACGACTTCAATGACCGAAAATATACAGAGTGTCCTCATGTGCCATATACAAGGAGTTCCTACAGTTTTCCTGTATCAAAATAAGCAGATTCAACTAAAGTTACCTCTATCCAAAGTTGCTTCGTTTATAGGGCATCAAGTTGACAAAAAAAATACATTTGAAATGTTTTGTTAAGATTTTCGCTCCTGAACTAATCTGTTTATAATTTTGTCGGGGCCCATACTATAGCTTCTATTTTTTTTTATCGTACAGATGAAGGGAAAATGAGACACCGTGTATTTTTAGCGAATGGTTAAAGAATCTATAGAGTCAGTTGAAGTGCTTACCTAAAAACATTTTATTGTAAAATGGAAATATAGTAAGTGGTACTTCCCGGCATAATTGGATTACTGGAAAGTAGGTCCTTCTTTGTATCCTTGCAGAATTCTAATGCGAGCAAAAATAGCGCAACTCAGGAATTAATGTAGAAGCCATTTCGAGCGCGCATATAATAAAATTTCACATAAAAGGGTCATTACAGATGTAAATAAACCAAGGATATGAGTTTCCTAACGTGTGGAGAACAATAAAACATTAAATGCTTCAATTGTACGTGCATGTGTGGTTATAATGATATAACGAAATTAAAGACCATTTGTAACATTTACGATTTTGCTGATTTACTATCTTAAAAGACATTCTAAACCGTTTTAATGTGTTACAACAAAATTCATAGTTAATTTTTCATGTATAAAATATACATTTATATGCATTTTTCTATGAGAAACCAGAGAAACTAAAGAATCAGTTCATCTATTAACCTGAAATATTGGAATATGCTTTGAAAAGAAAAGTTTTTAAAAGACATTCGAATTCCCATGCAAATTAGATTTATTTTGCTAAACTTTCGGAAATAAAAATTACTAAAAATTGTTTCATTAGTTTCTTTTGCAATGGCCTTCCATTTCTTCAAATTTTTAATTACCTGTTTTACAGAAAAAAAGTTGTTAAAAGTTCTTCTCCGCCTTAGATTTACCAAGAGATTAATATATTTTGCTTTACTTTTGAAAATAAAATGATTAACCATTTATTTTTCTAAAAATAATAACTCCAAAATGTTTCCATGGACAA